GGGGGAGAGGGGGGGGGGGGGGGTTGGAGACACAGACGCAGCACTGTTGCTATCAATGCAGCACACTCTCTTAATATTTAATTAAAATGGATCTGCTGGTAAGTGTGATCAATATCCAGTACCCTGTCTAAATTGCTTTTTCAACCTCTTGTGTCACACACAAAATAAATATGTTCTTAGTTGAACACGTCTGTTGCATTTCAGTTTTGATATACTTCCCCAGCTGCACGTACACGTGCACGTGCACGCAGCGTGTTGTTGTTGCATGCGTTTGTGTCATTAAACACATGGCGGTGAACAGCGGCGTGTTAACCTGTTGGTTTATCCAGCGGCGCGTGAATTCAGCTGCGGTGGTTGCTGGTCATCCCGAGTCTGTGGTCAACCGAGTGGAAGTAATTATGTTTATGTTGCAGGTAAATAAGGCGGAGCCACAGTTCCCCGACACCCTGTAAATACAAAGCTGAGTCGGTGGCGAACAGTGAGGGAATTCAGCCACAGCTAATCAATCACTGACAGATTACTGCTAAAACCACTTCCATGCACATTAAAGAGGGACAAATGCAGAAACGCAACCGAACAAGTTCGAGTTTTCAAGCCAACACTGGGACTTCCTGGTGATTCATCAACGTCAGGGCGGCTGAGCGGCGCCACTGTGTGACTGTAGTTCACGGCGGACAGAAGTAAGGCACGGCGTTGTGAGAGCGGTGTTTATGCCCTCAGCTGTGGCACTGTCAGCCTGCTGGAATTTACTGTAAATCACATTGCTTTTATTGCAAGATTTAGTAGCTTATCCTCTCTGGGCTCTGTTCACTCCAAGCCCGTCCCTATTAGGCCTTCAGCTCCACAGTGGGACCAGGATACAGCTGCTGAAATAATGTGGGAAATCAAGCCTGTAATTTTTCACTTTTAACACATCTCTCTTTTTTCTCCAACAGTCCCGGCCGTAGTAAAAACGGTTTCCTTGCCGAGAACTGCACCGCCGTCCTACGGTACACATCATATCTTTGACAACCACTTCATTCTGAGAGCTCAGCGTCCGGGCGTGTTGTGCTTTTACAGAAGTGTTGGCTTTTCCCCACGCAGTTATTTAATGCAGCGTCGGCCCACAGGGATTACACAAGAAAATATTTTAACATTCCAACCGAGGATTGCAGAAAGAAATGACTTTTTATTACACAATGCAAAAACAACCAGTCAGTAAATCTATCGAAAAAAAAAATCCTCATGGTTCTTACTGGAGAAAAAAACCCAGACTCCATGCAGCTGGTTTCTCCAAAGTCAGTCGTCACTGGTAGAAATAACAACCGCCCGGCAACACTGCTGATGTGATCACACATGACACCAGAGTCTGGAGGCAGGAGGTTAAAAAAAAAAATAGCCAGTCACGTGCTCCTAAGCCCCAACCTAATTCCTGGGAAAGTTAACCATTTTTTTTCTTTGTTTCTGAGTGTGTGTGTGTGAGTGTGTGTGTGTGGTATGAAAGACAGTGTCAGCATCTGTAAATTTACTCCCTTTTTTTTATGCCTTGGAGATTTTGGTATCTGTCGGTGTTAAAGCCTATAACATTAACACATCATTCCTGTCTGATACTGATATTTCACTGTTCATTTTATGACACTCATCGTTCAAAATGATGATCAGGAACGACCTGTGTCTAAATAACACCGTCACACTCTGGGTTTTTTATGACTATATTTATTTATTTATTTATGTATTTATTGTTAATCCCCCTCTCAAGGTTTTACCTGTTATCAAGGAGGGACTGGAGCGCGTGATGGACATGAACTGTGATCCCCGTAGCTGTGTGTGCGGGTGTGTGCGTGTGATGTGTGTGTATTGACGTGCCGTAGCAAGAGTTCAGGGAGGCAGCTGAGCAAAATAATTTAGAATGTCCTGCCTGCTGACACAAGGACAAAGGCACAGGCTGAACATGTTCAAATGAAGAGGGAGACGGTGGATGTGGCCACACCTGGAAATGCACTGCTGTCTTTTTTTTTTTCTTTTTTTTTTTTTTTCTCCTTTTTACTGTGACCTCCACAGCACACAGAGGTTTTCACAGGTTGTTACAACAAGCGTGAACAGTCTCTTCTGGTGAAGTCAGGAAGAGCATTTACACAATTTTATTCTCACTGTGGCGAGAAACCTCACCCGATGACCGTTGCTTATTCAAAGAGCAGCTAAATACAGAAGCATGTCAAGTTGAAATGACCTTTTGAGTTAATTCCTGTAATTATGAGCTAACTTCAAGTCAAAAAAAAAAAATCACAGTATTTCACATTTGAGCTGCAGCCTTTGTTCACTTAACGTTTTTAAATGGATCACTTAAGTTGAACCTAATAGAAGTCTCAACCTCTCAGTGCGGTCTTTTATATATGTATGTATGAATATATATATGTTATATATATATTTATATATATGTATAGCTTGACTTTTCTATTGACCGTATGCGGATACATACTGCCCACTCTGCTGTATGCACACACCTGTGATGGAGTACTATGTAAACCACATTTGGGTATATACAGTATGCACTCACATTTTGAAAAATCAGAATAAAAGCTGGGGCTTATTAGTACTGAACATGTCTATTTATATATATATAAAAACAGTCATTAAATAGTAAAAAACTTTTAATGCGGTGAATTCCCACTGCCATGAAAACCCAGAGAGGCTGTGATTCCAGATCACCAGAGCTCAGTAGCTGCTCCACACTCCATTATGCCTTTGGTTAGGATTTCTCCAAAGAGTCGGTGCAGTTGGGATTAACATGTTGCAGTCAGGGGAGTCGTGAAGGCTGAATCAATGCATCACTCTCAGGGCCTTGGCTTTGGATATGAAAGAGCATAATGGGACTTTTGGTACCGATCCTCGTATCATGTGTCTGACCAGGGTCTCCCTGCTCCCTGAAGGAGAGGAGCTCTCCTCCCTCCCTCTTCCAAGGCCACGTATAGATAATAGAGGAGCACTGGGGGATGTGACGAGGAACTAGGAAGAAAATTAGATTAATTTTGGATTTTTTGAAAAAAAAAAAAAAGATTTAAATATAAGTCTTTCTCATTTTGACTTTGTTACACCAAAAATATTACCAACATTTTTTTTACCTCCATGTGTCAGACTGTAAAATAAAGTGGACGGTCTGTGCTGTAGATCACAGTCGTTGATCATATTTTGATCACACATCATGTAAAACTGAAGACAGTTCAATGCCAGATCAGACTCTTCGACAGACACAGGAAGGGAAACGGAAAAGATTTCTACTGCTCTGTGCAGAAACTACACGTCACTCCTTATTTTAGATCGTCTGTAGCTGTGGTTCTCACAAGGGGGTCTGAGGCCCCCCGGGGCTCCCTCCAACACCGCCGGGGGGCTTTGAAATGTTTCCAGGTTATTCTATTAAAAATATCTGACTGGTAGACTAGGAATTCAACCCAGAACACATGTGGTGCATTGGTGAGGTCAGCCCTCGCCAGACAGTGTGTGAAAACCATAGACTGTACATGACAAATGGACACCACGAGTGGTGCACCGGGAAGCCCCCCCCCCCCCCCCCACCCCCCAACAAAGACTGTAAGTTGTCTGAGAAGAAGAAACATAATAATCTGGAGCTCTTTCTCATTCTCATTTTAGGACTTTTTCCAAAAAATATATATAGTTTCAGTTTGGTAAATTAGAAAAGATCATGCCTGTAAAATGTATGCACTGATTGTACGAAAAGTACTGCCATATTGTAATGTTGTAAAATGCAACCATCAAGTGTCAGAGAAGAGTCCAAATATTTACTAGAATAGTAAATAGTTACTAGAAAACTATTGGTTTATTGTCAGAAAAGTGTTGAAATATTGTTAAATATAATAATAATAATCCATGATTATTAAAAAAGAGTATGGGGAAATTGTAAAATATAAAACATTGGCAGCAAAAAACGGAAATATATTTTATTCCAAACATACTGATATATTGTAAAATATAAACATTCATAGTCAGAAAATAGCAATAATGTTTCATGTTTTCTTCAGGTAGACCCTCTCATGTTGAACTCCTGCTCCTGGAGGTGGCCGCTCTTTGAATTTGGCTCCGGCCGCGGGGCACATGCGCAGTGCGCAGCGTGCTGCCTTCAGTCAGCGGAGCAGCTGTCCAGGGTTTGGAATTCCAACATGGCAGAGGCTGTGGTCAGTCTTCGCCTCACTAACTTGGAATGGTTTCAAATCGCGAGCAGCCGCGCGTAACGCCAGCCACCCTCTCACCGCCGCACTCACCGAATCGATGTCACGGTAAACCGCGTCGCTGCCCGGTCACCGACACAGGTACGTGTGGTTCCTTTCTGTCAGTAATAAGTAAACAGTTCTAGACAGAGCAGCTCCGAGTCGCCCGGAACAGACTGTCTCTCTCTGTGTGTGTGTGTGTTTGAGAATGTGTGTGTGTGTGTGTGTGTGTGCGTGTGTGAGAGAGTGTGACGCGCATCACAGAGCTGCAGTGCAGCGTGTGGTCAGTCATTCTGCATTCTCCACGGCTACTTTCGCTCTTACTTGTCCGTAATCAGGACACAGTGTCGGGAACAGACAGGCTTCGGTTACGATTAATGCTCGACAATAAACCGGGAATTAAGGAGGCGATTACGCACACGAGTGGAGCCGATCTGTGTGGGAATAACTTTCCCACCAGCAGAAGTTTTTTTTTTTTTTTTTGCATGTCAGCCTGAATAAAACTCGCCGCTTTCAGCGCAGGCGGGAGGTTAATAGATGGATTGTCATTGCGCTCTTAGTGGGACAACTGCTGGCAAGTAATCTATTTTAAAAAAGTACAGAGAGGAGGAGGAGGAGAAGGAGGAGAAGGAGGAGGAGAACGGCATCACGCTGCTTCAGCCTCTTCCTCTAATGGGCGGCATGAAGAATGTGTGTTTTATGTCATCTCGTCTCTCACATGCTTCCTACTCTGCTGCTCCAACTCGCGCAAGAAGTGACAGGCTCCGCGTCCGTGCGACTCTCCGTCCTCTAGGCTTTTTTTTCTCCCCCCCCCCCCCCTTCCCCGTTTTGTCCTCCTATCCTATCCTGCCTTCCTTTAATTTATTTTCCCCTTGAATCCAACCCCCGCTGTTAATTGTTCTAAAATTGCACATAAATGAACAGCCGAGGACAGAAGAAGAAGAAGAAGGGACCGTGCGTTGTGAATGTTGTGAAATCTGATAGCTGAGGAAGAGAAAAGTGCCTGTAATGAGAAACAACCTTTGGAATTCCTCCTCGTGAAAATTCCCTTTCTGCTGTTTTCCCCTCTCCTCTTCTTTCTAGGCTCGAAGACATGATCACTAGCAGCAGTATTTATGGTATGTCCAGTTTTATTCATTCTTCTTATTCTTATTATTATGATCTTTGGTGTTTTTGTTTCTAGTATTAAATTCCATGTTGGTCATATTCCTGAATCGGCTGATGCTGCAGTTGTGTGTTTGCTTTTCTCTCTCTCTCTCTCTCTCTCTCTGTGTGTGTGTGTGTGTGTGTGCATGCTTCATCTGCTGAACTTTGTTATTTAATTTTACCCAGTAACGTGTTCTACGGCCTCACCGTGGGAACACATTTCCCCATTGATTTTCACCCAGTGGTTTTCTCACTCACTCACTTTGACTTGATTTATTTGTGACATTTCATCCTCCGTTTAACAGCACCATCCTTTGACTTTTCTTTTTTTTTTTATACCGCACGCTCGGTAAAATTCCTACTAAAATTCTACAATGCAATATAAAGTAATACGCAGTAAAGAGTTCATATTTAGGGTTTTATTTACTGCCTGTCATAATATAAAGAGACATTTCAAACAGTCCTGTTTCCTGTGCACAGCAGGGTTAGTAAATGGTTGACTGTTTCGACCACAGCAGATTGACCGACTGGACGTTGATCCAGTAAGACTGTGTTAA